GAGCAATATCTAAGTGCCCTCTGGTGGTAATTCCCTATGCCATTGCCGGGGTTTCCCCCTCGTCTTTCAGCTCAAATCCCCCTGGGATCTTTGCTGGGATATCTGCGGCAGTGCCAGGACAGCTCCTGCTCTCCTAAGCCCCTGTGCACTCAGAGCACTCCATGTCCCACTTCACTGCCAGCTTCTGCAGCAAATTCATCAGCTTGTCCCTGATTCCGCTCCTGCTCAGGGCCAGGACAGCCCCAGGAGCGGAGCACTTGGCCTAGTTTGGTGCCCACGTGCTAGCTCATCCTCCAGAGCTCCATCCCTCAGCAGAGCCGCCTCAGCTGAGGGATGCTCACAGTGGTACCCTCACCTCCAGCCCTGCTCTTTCCCCACTAACAAACATTTCTCTTCCAGCCCGTTTCAGTAAAGCTGAGGATGTGGGAGGTGTCAGGGTAATCGAGTGAAAAGTGGTGTGACCAGGCAGGAGAGTGAAACCTAAACTTGCTCCTCCAGTATGGAGACTGCAGTGAGAGCTCAGCTGCAGTACAAGCCCTCAGAGACACTGCAGGGAGCCAGGTTTTATAACAGTGCTTTCCCTGAAACTCCTCTTGCACATCACTGTTCTATTTAATTTCCACTACATATCTTAAGGAGCCTTTAATTTTGATTTAGATAAAAGCCCAAAAGATGCCTGCATGACAGCTTTGACTACTGTGGGGAGAAAGGGGGATGTAACAGAAAACATGTGCTATGCCACAATGGGATCAAAATCCAGCCTGACCAGTTACTTAAACACGGAACAGGCATTTCTAACCATGAGGACATCCCAGCTCCCCTGGCAGGGGACACACTTACACTGTCTGCTCTGCTGCCTGAGGGGGACAGAACTGCAAATAACAGCGAGTCTAAGGGGGAGTAATCCCCAGCCCCAGATCCCATGGGCCCTGGGCAGGTGTCAGGAAAGTCTGCCATCCCCATGCCAGTGGGATGCAGCATCCCAAGGGCTCCCTCTTGCTCTGAGGCAGAGGACAGGGGGCTGCAGCCGCTGCCCCGTGACCCACCAGCCTCTCCACTTCCCACCACCCATGGGCTGCACCGTGGCAGCACGTGCCTTTATAGGAAGGTCCAAGAAAGCTACTGGAAGACAATCAAAAGATGGACTTTCGCTTCCCAGGACTCCCTGCCCCACTGCAAGCCATGGGTGATGCATCTGCCCTGCTGCTGCCCTCTGCAGAGGTTTTCTCCAGCAAGAAGCTGAGGAGGGGACACTCGTGGGACTCCCGTCCCTCATGGGGACTCCTTCCCTGTGTGTCCTTCCTGCTCAGGTTACTTGCATCGCTCCACGCCAGGGCACAACTCCAATGTCCCACATCCCTGGGTTTTGCTAGGGTTTCCTCTGCTCACCCCCACATGTCCTTCCCAGAGCTCCTAATGCTGTCACTATAAAAACCAATGCTGGTTTTAACTCCTTTTAATAGTTAAACTGTTTTATATCAGCTACCGCTCCCTCCATTTCTGTGTACCTTTTGACACGGGGCAATGTCTCATAAACCAGCCTAAAAAATCTCTAATTCAGGAGAAATGCAGTGCTCCTGAAATGAAGCTCTAAACCCACTGCGATTTCACTCCCTAAATGTGATTTCAGTGGCTCGACCTCAGTGCCATCTGCAGTGCACATCCACTGTGGGGACTTTTCCCCAGTCTCAAGCGGTCACAATTCACTGCTCAAGTTTTCAGGCCACCCAGACCATCAGGAAACTGAATGTAAAATAAAATCCTGCTGGTACAGTTGGCTGCCTGAGCAGCACAGCCCTTGAGATAACAACCCAAGGGAAAGGCATTCAGTGCTTTTCAAGGCTGCTTGTGTCCAATGCAGCTGGACTACTGCAAGGTGCTGTCTGAACCTGTGCTTCTCTAACAAGAGCTGACTCCTTCCCATGCCCTTTCCCATCCCCTTCTTCTCCCTGTCTCTATCTCAACCCCATTCCCTACCCTCCTATCCCATTCCTTTCCCTCCCCACCTCTACCACATCCTCTTCCCATCTATGCAAGTCTCCTGTCCCCTTTGTTTGATTTCTTACCCATGGGGATGTACTGTTCTTGAGCCCGGAGGAAGTGATCCTTGAATATTAACCTGCTGTCTTGGTCCCCCCCTTCTTCCCTCGCGGGCCTGTTCCCATGGGATTCTTCCAAGAAGGTCCCTGAAGAGGCCAAAGTTAGCTCTCCTAAATTCTGGGGTTACAATCTTACCTATTGCTCTTATTTCTCATTAGGTTCAGTATTGTTTGGGATGAATTTGAGAGACCCTATTTCAGCCACACACTCTCTGGCTTTGTCCCAAAATGGGCTGGGGAGATTGGAGCCTGCAGGAGCCAAGCTCCAAACTCTCCCAGTGTCTCCGGGCCAGGACAAGTCAGATCAAAGGGGCCTCCTGAGTTAACCTGGACAAACAGCTTGGCCTAAAGCTGGGGTTACACAGCCCAGCAGCAGGCTCATCAGCGCTCTCATTCCAGAGATGCAGGGACAACCACAGCTGGGGCTGAGAGGGAGACATCTTTGCTGACACCCAGGAGAAGCAATGGCCCACAGAAGCTTCCAAGGTAGCTGTGAGAAGAGCACCAGTCAGCACCAGCATGGCAGGCAGGAGCTGTTGGAACAAGTCCAGAGGAGGCCACGAGGATGATCAGGGGACTGGAGCACCTCCCGTATGAAGACAGGCTGAGAAGGTCAGGGCTGTTCAGCCTGGAGAAGAGAAGCTGCGTGGAGACCTCATAGCAGCCTTCCAGTGTCTGAAGGGGGCCTATAGGGATGGGGGAGAGGGACTCTTCACTAGGGACTGTAGTGACAGGACAAGGGGTAACGGGTTAAAACTTAAACAGGGGAAGTTCAGGTTGAATATAGGGAAGAATTTCTTTACTGTGAGGCAAAGTAAAGGCTGCCCAAGAAGGCTGTGAATGCCCCATCCCTGGCAGTGTTCAAGGCCAGGTTGGACACTGGGGCTTAGTGCAAGCTGCTCTAGTGGAAGGTGTCCCTGCCCGTGGCAGGGGTTGGAACTGGGTGAGCTTTGAGGTCCCTTCCAACCCAAACCAGTCCGGGATTCTGTTCCTATGACCGCGGCAGCCGGCGGGGCACCCCCTGAACGCACAGCGCTGTGTCGTTAGAGGGTGCCAGTGCACTGCGCTGCACCGCGAGCCTGCTCCTCCTCGCACCGCACCGCTCCTGCCTGCGGCAGGGGTTTCCTCCGGTGGCCGGGGCAGGAGGCGCTCTGTGACGCGGTGAGGCTGCAGGTCCGAGCCCCCGCCTCGGAAGTTGGGGTGCCAGAGACTGCCCGGCCGTGGAGCCACAGGACTCGAGCAGCGGATGGGTGTCTGTGAGAGGAACCCGGTACAACACGGGGACGCTGTCAGTGGCGGCTCCAAGGCTCTGCACTGAGCTGAGCTATGCCAACGGCTCTAGCTCCTATTGCAGAGGCTGCTTAGCATCGTGCATGCAAGGACATCAGCACCACTGTGCCCACTGGCACACACAACTGGGAGGAGAGCTCACAGCAGGCACAGAACAACTAAAAACTGACCTACCCAGCGCTGCAGCCCTCTCCAAGCTTCTCCGTGGCAGTGCAGACCTCATGAGCCCAATAAACCACAAGCAAAAGGTTTAAACAAAGCTACGCTTGGGTTTGGGGCTCCAGGACATCACAAACAGGCCCCTGGATGTGGCCGAGGGCTTACACGTGTCCTGCAAGAGAGGAGCCAGGGTTTGCTTTCTCTTTGAGTGTTTTAATGTCAGGACTACTGGGAGGCACCTCCAGAGCTCCCAGCAAACACAAATCTGCATCAGTCCCCCCTGGAAGGACAGTCCAAAACCTCCTGTAGTGAGCTGCAGGGCTTGGCTTGCTGTGTAGGGTAGTGGGGGCACTCTAGGCAGGCCTGGGGACCCTGGAGCTACATCCCCCTGGCTGTGCCAGTCTCTGGGTGCCTGTGACCATGACCCCATGGAAAGCCTCCTGCCACCAGAGGAGGAAGGATTTTGCCCTGTTTTCACTAGTCAAAACACAGCAGACACCTTGGAGGGACTCTGGTACAAACCCTCTCTCCAGTCCCCTTTGCTGCTGGAGTCAGGCCTTCAGCATAAAGGTCTTTGCTGCTATTGCTGGCTTTAGCTGATGCACCCTCTCTTCCTGCACAGGTGTAAGCACTTTAAAGCCATCTCCTTAATTCAGGTGGGACAAGGGGCTGTGCAACACAGGACAGGCACTGTGAGGGATAAAGTATCTTAGCAGAGAAAAATGCAGGTGTAAGAACAGGGAACAGAGCTGCACAAGTCAGGCTTCCTGCAGGAAACCTCCCAGTCTTGTGTCAGAAGTGGGGACTGGCCACCCTAAATGGCCTGGGAAGCACAGGGTCCCAATCAGGGCAGCCATGAGCAGGGAGAGGGACTCCCACAGTAGACGAAGGAAAGAAGTCCTTTCCCAGCCTACTCTTTTGGAGAGGAGAGGCCAGGTACCCAGGACATGCAACTGGACTGTGAATGGACTGTGTGCTACTCAGGGAGCAGTCAATCCCTCCACACCTAAACAGGCTCATCCGGCACTGAATGTCATACAGATGGAACCTTTTCTACAACCGGGGTTTTCCCCAGGCTCAGCTGCTTCTCACAGTACTTCCCAGAAGGATTTCAGTCTTCAGCTCCCTTCCTCCATCACCTTTCTGTGCCAGCATCTTAAGCAGGAGGAGGTTTTCCTGGTCTGAGCTCTGTGGCAAGGTAGCAATGGTGCTGTTCACACCAGAAAAGTGGAGTTCAAGTGCAGCAGTTGCCATGCCATGTCCCTCCAGCACAGACAAGGTTGGAATGACCTGGGTCCACTGCTGGGAGATAGAGAGACAATGTCAGAAACAAGCCAGAACACCCACAAAGACAGACCAGAGCTTTTCCTATGCCCTCAAGCTGCTAAACTGCTGCTGAAGCACCTGGAAGCAAGGTCAGTCCACAGCAACAGAGGACCCAACTCAAAGGGGGCTAGCATAGCCCTTTATTAATAGAGAGCGACACCTCCATGCTGACCCGTGGAGTATAAATAGTGTGCAAATGAGATTCACGAGTGCAAAGGCAGGGCCCTGCCAGCGCCAGGGTACAATTCTGCAGGGCTCCTGTTTCAGCAGGTCCTGTGTCAGGGTTGGCCATGGGGCAGTGCCAGCTGAGGGGCTGTAGGCGGGTATGACCCGGGTGTTCTGTGAAGTTTGATATTGCTTGAGTCAAACCCCTTTGGTCGGTGGCCTAGGGAGCTTCCAGCACTGGGCACAGGGCTTGAAGCAGTTCACATAGACAATGTTTAGAGCCCTTGGGCAGAGGAGGTCTGTGCTCCAGGTATGTGTTGTACCCAGTTCTTCCAGGACCAGAGCCAAAGCCCATCATCATTCCAGCTTCAAAGAGAGAAACACTGCACAAAATCAAGGTCCAGAGGGACCGTGCTTGGCACAGCCTCCTGCCCTGGTTATGGCTGAGTAATCCACCAAATGTCCCTGCAGGTAGGTCTCTTTGGAGCAGGGACTGGGTCATCTCCAGCCCCTACTCCTCACTTCTACAGTGCAAGGAGGCAGCAGAGGTTTGTGCAAGGGTCCATACCCAGCCGTGGCTGCTCTGAGGCTGATTTATGGCTGCTTTGAAGCTCTTCTGCAGCAGTTCGGCTAAGCAGATCTTTTTTATAGTAAGAGCAGTGCTGGTCTGCCCTAACATCCTCGAAACAGCAGGGCTCTGCCTGCAGCCTCTTAGCTGTGCAGGGGCCAGTATCCCATCAGAGGATCCTGATGCGAGATGAAAATCCTGCCCCTTTAGAGGCCAGGACCCACATGGCCCTGCCGTGAGAGCCTGGACTACAGCAAGAATGGGTCATCTTATCTGTGAGACCCCTCTTAAAACAGCACCTTTCAGGGACAATTCCCCCCTACAGGCATTATGGCATTTGCTGCCTGACCTCCTATTCTGCAGAGCATCAACACTGTGGGCACCAGGTGCTCCAAATACGAGAGGTTCACAGGTGAATTCCCCTGGCTATCTGGCTGGGAGCTGCTCTGGCTCTACATAGGTCACTTTCCACACCTTCTCCACTCTTTTGCATCCAAGGCTTGCAGTGCTGCTGCTCCAGTCTCCCTGCAGCTCTGGCATCCCTCAAGGCTCCAGCATCGCTCAGGGCTCCTGAAGAACACCTCCCAGGGGCCCTGTGGCCTAAGCAAAGGTAAGCTTTCCACAGCTCATGTCTGCTCTGCCAAGCCTCCATCGATCTCTTCTGCTGAATCACAGTCAGGCCAGCCCAGGAATGATGTATTGTTGTTGGCTTGTTGCTGCTGTCTTGGTTTCCTGGGGCTTCGACACCTCTGAAGCAGAGTCAGCAGAACTGGACTGTGCCCTGCCTCAGCTCCTGCGGAGCACTCCATCAAAAAGGTAATGGTATTTCCTTATCATCCCTCAGCTCTGATGGCTGTAGGAGCAATGGACTAAATCATCCCCTTGAGAGCAGACAGGGTCTGTCTGCCCAAACCCCTCAGTGACAGCCCTTGGAGCTGGACAGCAAAGTGATCACATCTGCCTTTTGAACTCAGTCCTGTTCCCTGCTGCGTGCTTTCTCCTGTACAAAGGATGCTGTCTCTTCAACAGCACCAGCCTTGAGTTTCTTCACGTCATTTTCAAACAGTGGTGAGCTGAATTCACGCTTTCAGGGGTGGACTGTGTTCAGCCTTTTCTTGCAGATAGGAAAACTGAGGCACAGCAGAACAATCTACTTCTATCAGTCACACTGGAGTGCAGGGAGCAATCATGTTTGAGATACACACCAAGCCCCTCTTGCCCTGGTATAGTAGAAGAGTTGTGGCTCTAGTTCCCCTGCAGTTGGCATCTTCACATGGGGATCCTTCAGCCTAGGGCCTTGGCAAGTCATCTGCTGTCTTTCCATTAATGATCAGCCTACCACTTGATCAAGTTTTATTTTCACATACCCAAATATAGCATGCTTCATATCTTATCTTGCAGCACAAATCTTACTTTACTGGGCGGGAGTGAGTGGTGAGCACGAAGCAGGCAGGGATCAAAAGGCAATGAGTGTCACAGAGTGCAGAGACCCAGCACCAGACAGCAGCTTGGGAAGGACACAGAGCCCAGGGACATGAGAGCAGAAGAGCAGATCGACTTCAGGACTGTCTTTACAGTGAGCAATGTAACAGCCTTCTGCACTGCGCTAGCATGTGGTGCTTCCCAGCCCTTTGAAGAGGGGGAGGAGATGCTGGCAGTAAATGCTCCTTTTTACCACCAGACAGGGCAACTGAGACAAGGAGCAGTTGGAGGGTTTCGTAAGTCAGCCAGAGGCACACCAGAACCCGTTCTGAGGAAGGACAGATGAACAAGCACCACTTCTCTGTGACAGAGCCAGTTTTTAGAGTGCAGGGCTTAGATTCACTTAGATGATGCTGGCAAGATACGAAGGGACATTCCATCATCTCAGGGGAGACATTGTAACAGTCTTCCAATACCTAAAAGGGCTGACAAGAAATCTGGGGAGGAACAGAACAAGGGGAAACGGCTCCTACCTGCCAGAGGGGAGACTGAGAGATCTTAGGCAGAAGCTCTTCCCTGTGAGGGTGCTGAGACACTGACACAGCATGCCCAGAGAAGCTGTGGCTGCCCCATCCCTGGCAGCGTTGGACAGGGCTTGGAGCAAGCTGCTCTAGTGGAAGGTGTCCCTGCCCGTGGTAGGGGGCTGGACCTGGATGAGTTTTAAAGTCGCTTTCAACACAAACCATTCTATCATTCTATGGTCTGCTCAACAGCATCACGCCAGAAGGCTGTGACACATCCTGGACCAGCCAGCATGGCAGAGACATGCTTCACAGGGTTTTGCAGCCTGGGTTGCTGCTCACAGGACTGTGGTTTGCATTCAGAGCACCAGTCCATGCACTCCCTGATCCAGCAGAGCTCGTTTGATTTGGATCGGATGCCTGGGCACAGCCCCTGGCAGGGCAGACAAGTACCTTCTTCTAAAGCCAACTGTGTTCCTGAAAGAAACTACAGACCTGAACTCTTAAACTGCTAATTTTCATCAAGCAAGTCAGAAGAAACCCCTGACGTTAAAGGTGATGGGTGGGAAAGATCTTTGTCCTGGTAAAGTGTTAGGATTTCAGCACACAGAGTGCAGAGTTCATCCTGTCAGGCAGCATTTTCATGTCCAGGTGTTGTATCGATCCCGAATCTGCCCTCAAGGTCTTAAAGGATATTTTTGTGCAGGGGCACTGGCATGTGGTAGGAGCAAACATGCAGGCTGGTGGGAGTGTGAGGCCCTGATACAGGGAAGAGGACAAGGATGTCTCTTCCATGGATCCCTTCTGTCCCACGGACACCTCTGCCAAAACCAGTAGCCAGCAAAACTGCCCAGCCCTCCTACAACCTGCAGTCTCATATAACCATCCTGCAAGACAGTGGCATGTTTCACAAGGCTTTTGCAACGGGTTTAATGCAACGACTGTGCTGAAAGAGGTAGCAAGAATGGGGGCAAGCAACCACAGCAACTCCTCTGGGCAATTGCCTTGCACTCTGCTGTTCTCTTCATTCAGTTCGCCTCTTCTCTGAAGCTTGACATGCTGTGTAGGTCCAGCTTCTACCTTTGCCCTCTGCAAGGTCAAGTCCTTCCCACTGGTTTGTGTCTTTCAGGCAATCAGAATGAAATAAAGTAAATAGCAAAGACAAAAACTGTGATTATAGAGCCATTGAGTCTGCCAGGTGTGGGGAGGGCTAGGGGAGATAAATGTTGCTAAACCAGTTTCCAGGCAGGACAGGCCTCCCTGTGACCAGGATTCCCACCTCCCTTCCCGGAACAGAAAAAAGCAAGGGAGAAAATCACTGGCAAAAGAAAAGTGCAGAGGGGACTGGTTTCATAGGTGCAAAAGCCAGTCTGCCTTTCAGCATTTCAGAGAACGTGTTCCAGGGATCCCGTTAGTGTATCTCAGGAGTTCCCTGGCCACATTGTATTCACACGCAAGAGGGTAGTGAAGCCCATGTAGCAGCTCTCCTGAACCCATTACCTCCACCTATGTAACACCTCCAGGATGCTACCACTACCACTCAGCTATGTCCTGGGGTGTGCTACCACACCTAATGGAAACTGGGTGAACATACCCTCCATGTGCCCTTGCTCATGTCAAGGCTCTCCCAGTCATGGGAGACTGCCTCTGCTCCCCCCAGGGGAGAGCTGGCTTGTCTTCTTTTTGTAGGAGCTAAATCCCAACTTGCTGTATGGCATTAATTACATCCCAGCCTTGTTTCCAGCATGAAGATCTCTGCACCTAGAAATAATACATAATTGCTACTGGAGGGAAAATAAGAGCGATAAAAGTATGTGCAAACTGGGCAATGAGGAGATCCCAGTATCAAGTGTCATTTAAAGATTTTAATGAAGCCAAACTATGTTTTTCAAGCGGGTTTCTCAGCTAATGTTTAACAAGACAATGGTGTGTGCCTGCTGGTACTGGAGTAAAGGACCAAGATAAGTTTAACGTTAACCAGCAGAACAATGTATATTGTGCCTGCTGTAAGGTACCTGGCCTGGCAGTATCATTTACGAATACACATGTAAATAGTATCATGGGACAAAGAAACTGCTCAGGAGGGAACAGCTCTACAGCTTCCACCAGAGCAGCAGCCCCTCATTGTGTCTTCATGCCCCTTGGTCCCTCCACACCAGTTCTCCTCTCCCTCATGACCTTTGTACGAGCTACTCGGACTTGCACTTGGAGTCACCGGTGTGGCACAAAGTCATAGGATCATGTAGGATGCACTTAAGGTGCTGGGTTCTTCACCCACACCAGTGATAACTGTGTGTCTTGTTTTCCTCTTGCCCAAGAATATAGCATGCTCATAGGTAATTGAAATCGTTTCTTCCTGGGTAACCCTCATTAGGGACCCGGGTTGGATTTGCTAATTGATGAAGGGGAAAAGGAAGCGGGTTTCACTGCGCCGGTACCTGCCGCAGCTGAGACAGCGCCCACCTCCCCACGCAGGGCCGAGGCCACGCCCCCGTGCAGCCTGGCCACGCCCTCAGGGGTGGAGCGGGCGGCTCCGCCCCTCCCTAGAGCCCGGCTCCGCTCGGAGATGGGCGGGGCGCTCTTTTGGCTCCGCCCCCTCTGTCTGACGTCACCGCCAGCCGAGCAGTGCGTTGCAGGTGCTGACGGCGGCGCGGGGCGAGCGGAGCGGAGCCGGCGGTACTGGGGAAGGGTTGGGGAGCTCGGCTGTGGGGCTGAGGGATTCCCCGGCTGTGTGTGAGGGGCTGGGTGAGCCGGTGTGTGTCTGGGGGCTACCCGTGGTGGGGGTGCGGCTGGGGCTGGGAGCTCCCCGGCTACGTGTGTAGGGGATGGGGGTGTGTGGGGCCGGCGCAGTCCGTACCCCAGCCCTCTGCGGTGTGCGGCTGGGGCTGGCGGTCCAGGAGGGCCCCGAGGAGGGCGGGTGGGATTGGACCTGGCCTCTGTGGGGCAGGATCTGGACGTGGGGCTCTTGCTGTGGGGAGCGCTGCTTCTTGGAGGAGGAGGATGATGAGGAAAACATGCCGGAGTGAAGAGGAGGGGTGGTGGCTGCTGTGGTGCTGGGTTCCCGCGGTGTCGGGGCCTGCTCTGGAGCAGGGGGGGCGTCGCCAGTGCTGCTGTCGCAGGGGTGTCTCTGCCCTGCCCCAGCTCTAGCGATCCGTTTGTCATCGCATTGCTGTAAACTCTTTGGGGTGCCGTTGCGGGGAGCGAGGCGGTGTGGGGTGGCACAGCCCTGCCCTGTGCACTGGCAGAACGGCGCTGCTCGGCTGCGGCTGTTTATGCAACCTGCGGGGAGAAGAAGGAGGCAGGCAGCTGTGCTCGGAGCAGATGGGCTTGTTTAATACTAATGGGCTTATTTAGCGTAGAGCAAGGGGGATGCTATCACTCTTCGAGTGAAAATAATGCTGCATCGTGTGTTTAAAAGCCATTATGGCTGTCCTGGATTTGTATTTCCTGTGTCTATAGCTGCTTGAGACCTCATTTGGATAATTAAATGTCATGGTGAAATAGGAGAATGAGGGCAGGAGAGCACTCACCTCCTTTCCTTTGCTACAGGGGTCTGGCAGCCCCCTCTGACTGCAAAGGGGAGACCCTCCACGCAGGGCAGCACCAGGATCTGTCCCACCCATCCCACGTTCATGGTTAGCTCTGCCTGAAAGGTGGAAAAAAAGTGCTTTTGATGTCCTTGCTACAAGACCTGTGTGGACAACCTGATTGTCTAAGCGGGATAAGTCTTGGTAAAGTAGTAAGTGTGGGTGAGCTGAAGTAACGGCACTCAACTGCTTCCTCCTTTGGGCTGTGGTACCTCCAGTGATGAGGTGCAAGGTGCACTGCCAGAAAATGGGTGTTTTTCTTTCAACTGCTTCAGTTGTTTTAATAAAAAGAGTGGCTCTTCCTAGAAACTCTTGGTGATAAGAATACTGTATATCAGACTGAGGAGGAGGCTGAAAATGCTGAGATTGGATAAATTCTAGTGATTGTATTTCAGTGCTGCTTGGGGACAGTGAGGAACTAGCCTGTGCGTTGCAGAATAACCTTCTGTGCTGCACAGAACAGCATTTTTCTTATTCATGTGCTGTAAAGGCCATCTCTGTTAAAGTCCTGATTTGCCATTCCCCTGATAGTCTATGAGCAGTGAATGATGATCTGTAGAGGCTGGTGGGTGTCCTCATTGCAGAGGTCAGGGAGGAGAAGAGAATGTCCTGTACATGAGCAGCTCCAGCACATGGGGCTGAGCAGCCCCTGCAAGGTGCTACCTGGTGTCAGATCAAGTAGAAGGCTCTGGTGCTTTACTGCCATGTGACCCCCAGGTCCATAGGGGTTTGCTGTTGCAAACCCCAGAGGTGTTCTGTAAGTGTAAAGCGCAGATGTTCCTGCTTCTAGCGTGGCACTGGGGTGATGGAGGATTTCCTGGAGGGCTGTGTTTATGGTAAACAGATGAGCTGCCTGTTTTCAGGGGTAGTTCTGTGCATGATCAGATTAACATATTACTTAATATTTTCTAGGAGGGCAGAGCAGCTTGTGTAACTCTGGATTTTCAACAGGCAGGTCTGCGTTTCTCCTGTGAGCTGTTTGATCTCCCTGTAGCATGGCTGCAGACTTAGGGGGCCATGAAAACTTCTAGTGGGAGCTGAAAACATGAATGAGCATGGTTTGAATGCCTGCCTGTGATATTGACGTTTTCTACTCCCTTGGTTTTGTACTGTGTCTTTCCCAACTTCCTGTTTCTGAGCTGAAACCGTATGGCTCAATGAGTAGAAAATAGCACTTGGTCATTTAGGGGCATAGGGGAAGAGAGCAAGAAACCCGAGTCACTCCGGCAGACACAGTGCCAACTCTGGCATCCTGCCGGCTGCAGCTTGGCTTCCCACAGGGCAATCTGGGAGCCTTCAAAGCCGCTTGCCTGTGATGCGAGAAGTGCCTTCTCCAGACTAAGGGATGCAGTGTTGGGCCTTGCACCTATGCTGTGCCACCCTCTGCAGCAGTATTCCAGGGAGCATTTTCCACCAAGAACCTGGCTCTGTGGGAGCATGTGTGCACATTTCTGCTGCTACAGCATTGCTTTCTTGGAGATGGAGCTGTGCAGCCTGCCCATGGCCAGTCAAGGTTGCATGGGGCTCA